ATGTTTATTTTCGTCTTTTGCATAGTAAAATCCAATTATTTCGTTCTTAAGTCTTAGCTAATCAACAAATCACATAACTAAACTAGGCCGTGAGTCCTTTGGGAGAACGATACTTGGTCTTACCGAGTTTATTACTTGAAACGATTCGGTCATACTTGCCGATTGTTAAACAAGTTTGTGACATCATATTTTGGTGATCATAAATTTGTGCATCAAGTTCAGTACTATCACCATCATAATACACATTTTCCCTCAATTGAGCACCAGTAGTGGTAAAATCAGATATAGGGACAACAACAAAACTATTACAATCACGAATCACAACCAACTCCGTAAAACCATCAACTAGCTTTTCAAAATCAGCATCAGTGTAATTATGGTCATAAGGTTCACATACACATTCAGAAATATCAATAGATGCACTCATACAATCATCACTCATCAGAGAATTAACACTATCAGAATTCGAAGCATAATATGAATCAGTGAAAGAAGGATTAGAGTATACAGAGGTGGTAGGACACTCAATCTCTTGAAATTCTGGGGCAGCAGCTACCATCAGTGGTGCTTCATTGTTTGTTGCCCCTTTCTCCTCTTAATTTTTCCTTGTCAACTAATTGATAACAGCCACCATTTGAGCCACTTGGGTGGTCATTTCTTGAAAATATGTTAATTGCAAGTCTTTCTGCAACTGATCACCAAATTCATCCTACCATGGCTGCAGCGACTGAAAATTCTCCTCCTCAGGTTCAGCATACTGGTCCCAGTATGAATGTGGCAGCTGCTGGAAAGCTTGATTGTCTGGCTGCAAAAATTCCTCAGGAACAGTCTCAAAGAACATGTTAAATCCTTGTGTGGAGCATTGTAAGGGAAAGGGAAATTACCATATGTAGAGGAATTATCCATACTTACCAATTGCTAACCGGAATAAAACCAATCAGACCAACAAGGCCTCTATCACAAAATTCAACAAAAGAAATGAAAGAAAAGAAAATTTGTACAAGTTAATATTGACAACTTTTACTCTGCAAAAATGCAAAAAGAAGAAACATATCCTAAACTAAAAAGAAACAAATATGCAAATGAAGCAGAATTACAACCAAGAAAACAAACCTAAACAAGACTAACCTAACATTCTAAGACTTAACTTGCCGAGTCCCGGCAACGGCGCCATTTGTTAAACAAATTTTTGTCGCCTAAAATCAGAACAAAGTCTGGTCCCCACTAATGTAGCATAGTGCAACCATAATATCAATCCTAGGACTCAACAAAATTAAGTTTTAAAATGTAGAGTTAAGTCTTGTATTTATTTACTAATTATTTACTTACTAACTACTAAACAGGTGAAGACATTTAAAATGAAAACAAAAAAATTAACAAATTAAGAAAAGCAACACTATAATCTGTTTTAAAATAAAAGAAGGAAGAAAATAAAGAAATAAAACCTAAGATAAAGTAATGAAGAGATTAAACCTATTTATATCCAAAACAAAATCTATATACTTGTTAGAATAATTATTAAGTCGACCTATGATTAGTATAGCAGAGCCTAAAGTAGGTAGTTGTGTGTTGGGTTATCTATAATGATTGTTCCTAGCAGTCTAGGACAATCTCTCATCTTCCATCTATCTATTGTATCAGATTTGTATCTATATAAATAATAGAATTGAGAAGGGTCTTCTAAGCCCTTCAGAACTATTTTTCTCTGTTTTAGATCTCAAGTTGGTATCAGAGTAGGATCATCCTGCTCTGGTTTCTGTCCTGGGTTGTCCACCAGCACTGTCACTGCTGTTTGCACGTGTCCGGTGCCCTTCGTTGTTGTCTGTGGCTGTCTCGCCACTATCTGCAGCTGTCAACTGCAGTTTGAAGTTCTTAACTTCCCCCTAAGACAAGCACCGAGTGATATAACATCATTTTTTTCCTTCAAAAAATCAAAACTGTCAACCTTCAACGCCTTGGTAAAGATGTCTGCCAATTGTTCTTCAGTTCTACAGTATGCTAACACAATTTTTTTCTTTGCCCACCAAGTCCCTTAGAAAGTGATACTTTATTTCTATATGTTTGCTTCTTCCATGGCTTACTGGATTCTTGGATAGATTTATGGCAGAAACATTATCTATCCTTAGCTGCAAAGTGGTTTTTACAAGCACTCTTATTTCCTTTAGCAGTTCTTCTAGCCAAACTCCTTGGCAGGCTGCAAAGCTCCCAGCTATATACTCTGCTTCACAATTGGACAAAGCAACTACAGATTGCTTTCTAGAACACCATGAAACAGGAGCGTTGTTCAGCAAAAATATATATCCATATGTGCTTTTTCTCTCCACGGCGTCACCACCATGATCAGAATTGGTGTAGCCAATTAGTTCCAATTCTGAATTTTGTCTCCCAACAGGAAATAGAACTCCATGATCAAATGTGCCTTGTACATACCTCAAAACTCTCTTGACAACACTCATATGAGACTTCTTCGGTTCACCCATGAACCTGCTAATCAGTTCAACACAAAATGAGAAATCTGGTCTGTTGTTGCAAAGAAAACTCAATGATCCAATCATTTGTTTGAACACTGACTCATCTACCCCTTCCTCTGATTCATCTTTCACCAACTTCTGATTAACTTCCATAGGGCTCATTGCGGCATTACATAATGCCATATTAAATCTTTTCCACAACTCTCTAGTATACTTCTTTTGATGCATCACCAATCCTGCAATAGTATAAGCAAATTCCATTCCTAGGAAGTAGCTTAACTTACCCAAGTCAGTCATCTCGATTTCTGTTTGCATCACCCTCTTGAATTCTTCTATGTGGTATAAGTTAGATCCTGTGATGAGTAAATCATCCACGTATAGACAGATAACTAGCATATCCTCTCTTATGCTTCCTTTCACATAGACATCATGTTCAACAATGCATCTGGTGAATTTGAGTTTAATTAAGAAGGAGTTGATACGCTTATTCCAGGCCCTGGGACCTTGTCTCAGCCCGTATAACACTTTCTACAGCTTGTAAAGTTGGTGTTCTTTGCCTTCTTCAACAAATCCAGATGGATGCTATACGTATACCTGCTCCTCCAAAGGTCCATGAAGGAACGCTGACTTCACATCAAGCTGGAACAATGGCCAACTTCTTGAATATGAAACAACAATCACTAGCCGAATGGTCTCCATACGTGCTACTAGTGCAAACACCTCAGAAAAATCATACCCTTGTCTTTGAGAACCCCTTTACCACCAGCCTAGCTTTATATTTGGAGATTGATCCATCAGGCTTCAACTTCACTTTAAACACCCACTTAACTCCAATACTTTTCTTCCCTGCTGGCAGATCAACAAGCTGCCAAGTTCTATTCCTTTCGATAGCATCAATTTCTTCCCTCATTGCATTTCTCCACACAGGTTCCTTTAATGCTTCAACCTCATCTATTAGTTTTGCTCCAACATACAATGCCATATGAACCAAGTCTCCTTCATCACCGATCTGTGTATCAGTATACACTTCACATCCACTAAACCTTTGTGGCAGTACATGCCTTCTTTGCGGTCTACCAGTCTCACTATTCTACATACCTCCACTACAATTAGAAGGGGTTTTAGTTTCTGCTAAGATGGATGTGGATGTGTCAGCCTCTCTATCTATTGTGGCTTTCACCAAGCCAATTTGCTTCTGCTTCCAATCCCAACTTTCATCCTCTAAAACCATTACATCTCTACTCAAGACAACTTTATCGTTAATTGGATTGAAGAGCTTATAAGTTCTAGTAGGATGATAGCCAATGAATATCATTGGCTCGCTTTTATCTTGCAGCTTTGATCTTCTCGGTCTGGTATATGCACAAACACAAGTGATCCAAACACTTTGAAGTGGCCAACTATCGGCTTCTTGTCTGTCCACGCTTCAAAGGGTACTTTCCCTTCTAGCTTCTTCGTTGGACACCTGTTAAGCAGGTAGACAGTTGTGGACATCACCTCGCCCCACAGCTTTCGTGGCACTGCTTTCTCCTTTATCATGCTCTTGGCCATATTAAGAATCATCCTATTTCTTCTTTCTGCAAGCCCATTGTGCTGAGGAGTATATAGTGATGTGATCTCATGAGTGATTCCATAATCTTGACAGTGGCTTTCAAAGGCATTAGACATATATTCTCCTCCCCCATCTGTTATAAGAATCTTTAGCCGCCTTTCACTTTCCCTCTCAACATGAGCCTTAAATCTTATAAAGATTTCCAGTGCATCGCTTTTCATCCTGATCACATACAACTAGATCATTCTGCTATATTCATCAACAAAGGTAATGAAATACCTGTTTCCAACTGATACAAGAACTTCAATCGGCCCACAGATGTCTGAATATACTACCTCCAAACACTCCTTTGTTCTCATGTTCAAGTGTGCTTTAAATGACTTTCTTGTCTGCTTTCCAGCCAAGCAATTTTTGCACACTCTTTCAAGCAGTGTGATGTTTGGTAATCCAAGAACCATTCCTTTCATATCAAGTTGTTTTAAGTTTTTGAAATTCAAGTGTCCATACCTCAGATGCCACAACCAACTTTCACCATTGACTTTCACTAGGACAAACATTGAGAATTTTCAACTACTTCCATATTAATCTGCAATGTTCTATTCTTGGAGATCTCGCATCTTAGGATCAGAGTTTTGTTTATATCATACAACTAAACTTTGTCTTAGTCTCCCATTACTGTTGTGAATCCTCTTTGAACCAACTAGCCAATGCTCAACAAATTGCACTTCATGGTAGGCACAAATAACACATTGGTGATGGTAGCATTCAAACCATTCTTTCTTCGAATAACCACATCTCTCATTCCTTCCACCTTAAACGTACTATCATCAACAAACTTCACCTTTCTTTTCTTCGTTGCATCAAAGTTTATCAACCATTCTCTATGGCATGTCATATAGTTTGAGCAACCGGAGTCTAGGTACCACAAGTCATTTTGAGAAGAAGATTTTTCTACAGAAGTGGTCACCATCAACGTCAGTGGTTCTAAATTTGAATCTTCTTGTGCAATGTAAGCCTCTTTCCCTTGATATTTCTTCTGCTTACTCTTATCAGCATAACATTCATAAGTTTAATGACCATATTTGTGACAATTAAAGCATTCAACCTTCTTTTGTCATTCTTTTGATATCCCTTATCTGACCTTCCATTCTTTTCAACTGATACAGGTTTGTCCTCTTGATCAGTTTTGTCTTTATCAGACTTCCAACTCTCTTTCGTTCATTTCCCTTTCCACTTCTTGTTCTTCTTTTTCTCATCGTTTCTAGAATGGCGCACTTTCAGTGCTTGTTCTTCATTCTTGGTTGGATTTTTATCCAATAGCCTCATTTCATGCGCCTCCAATGAGCTTTGTAGTTCCTCAATTTTCATTTTTGAAAGATCTCTCAATTCTTTAATTGCAACCACTATGTAATCGAACTTCTGTGGCAAGGATTTCATGATCTTTTCAATAATCATAAAATCATTAATTGACTCTCCACACCCTTTCATCTGATTTGTGATGGTCAGAATCTTGTTGAAGTATTCACCAACTTTATCACAATCCTCTATCTACAATAGTTTGTACTGTCTTTTCAGAGTCTGAAGCTTCACCTTTTTAATCTTTTCTCCTCCCGCATGGCATCTCACCAAAAAACTTCAGGCTTCTCTAGCAGTAGTCGCATTCTGGATCTTTTCAAAATGACTATCATCAACACATTGATGAATGATAAACAACGCCTTGTTATCTTTCTTCTTGACTGTAACTTTTTGATCTTCTGAAGCACCAAGATCAAGCTCTAGCCCATTACCTTCAACGACATCACTCACATCTTGAAACCTGAACAACACTTTCATTTGTGCTCCATCTGTTCCAATTCTTTTCTGTGAGTATTGGAAGGTTTGTTGCTGGAACATCTATTCCCGCCATGCTTCAAACACACTTCTTTGATCAAGAAACAAAATCTTGACACCCTTCTTCCTCCTTCACCTTTGATCACTTTGGCCAGTTGCACCGTGTCGTGATCAAGATGCTCCTCAGGTCCTCACTCGACCTGGCTCTAGATACCACTCTGTTGGAACGAGAAACAGCAGATAAAAGCAGAGAGAAAAAAATGTATTCTGAATAGAACTTTTATTGTGTAAAAACTAAAGGTTTAATCATTTACTACATCCCTATTTATGTACGAATGTCTCAATTGGGTCCTCGTTTTTTAAAGTGTATCAAAATGGTCCTTAATTTTGAAAATTCATATCAATTGAGTCCTTTCCGTTAAGTTGGCTGGACGGCGTTAAAAAAATTGATGAGTGGGATGCTGAGATGACTAACGAACGCTCGTCCACCAGCGAACGAACGCTCGACGACCTCTTACCGCTGGACGACCGTTCGTTCCACACTGGACGATTGTTCGTTCAGTGGTCGCCGAGCGTTCGTTCGTTGGTGGACGAACGTTCGTTCGGTGTTGGACGAGCGTTCTTTCGTCATCTCAGCATCCCACTCATCAATTTTTTTAACGCCGTCCAGCCAACTTAACGGAAAGGACTCAATTGATATCAAATTTCAAAATTAAGGACCATTTTGATACACTTTAAAAAACGAGGACCCAATTGAGACATTCGTACATAAATAGTGATGTAGTAAAGGATTAAACCAAAACTAAACTAAAGCAAATGTACAAATGGTGTTTTATAAGGAACAGAAATAACAGATGTAAAGTTGTATGTGTAATAGCTGTCTTGTATTAAAGTAAACTAACATGTCAGTGTTTAACTTCACTGTGATTTCTCTGTCACATCCCTTACTGGCATGATCACAATTCCATTTTCCATATTTTCCAGGTCACTATATCCCTCAGCTTGCAGAGTTAATCTTTGATCGAAACAGAGATAGCAACAAATATCCCTTTATTAATCTTAAAGGTTTTATTGTAAGTAATTCTTTTGTGAAAATTGAAGTTTTATCTCAAGGGTAAAAGCCCACCCGAGGTATCCAAAATGGACTTATTATGTTCATTCACTAATAGCATTTATTAATCGTTTTCGACATCACCAACTTGAAACAATTTTTTTGTTTTCAACATCATTGACATAGGATACTTCGTGTTTGGAGGAAAAGAAGCTTTGCAGTAGATTCCACGAACACTACGTCGAGAATTTTTCCTCCGTCGATCATTGCAACGGAGCATCAACGGCAAGAAGTAGTAGATTCCAGTTTTGATATGAGAAACCATGATCAACCCTAAATTTCTTACGTCTTGAACCTCGAATACGAAGACTCGGGTTTCCAATTTGATTTTCGTTAATCCTAATTTTCTCATGATTTCAGATTTTAATTTTTTTAAAATTTTTTAATTAAACATTTTCCACTTGTATATACCATGTCATTAAATTATTTCACCTCATGCTAAGTCAAGTTAATCAGTTAACCCAATTTAACAAGAAACCAATTATTTTAATTTTTTACTTTTTAAACACACAATTGAGAAATAAAATAATAAAAAAATCTATTTTAAAAACTCAAATAGAAACACGAATGATTAAACAAAAATAAATAAATAAAGTGACTTTTGTTTGTCAACTTTAAATGAATGATTGAGATATTAAATGCTTGAAGGGCCTCTTTATCCTGTACAGTTAAAAGATAAATATATTATTTAATAAAATTTATATTCTTATACTGGATTATAATCACAATTTAAACCGTGTTTGGCACGAGGTGATTTTGCTGTTATTTTGGAATAATCGATTCTTTTTAGAGAAAATTTAAAATTTCATACTTTATGAAAGCAATCAAAATTGATAATACTATTTGAAAAAAATCTAACATATATTAATAATTAATTTCCAATATTATAGGAATATATTGAAGTATTAGAAAAAAAAAAGGGTTAATAAAATAATATTATAATGATAATATGTTTTCATTTTAGTATATTTTTGTCAGACCTCGGAAAAACCCACATGTCTTATCGTATTAAAAATGCACCCAAAATCCCTGTCAGAATCATTAAAAACGCATCCAAACCCTCTGCGAAAACGCCAGGTGTCAAGAATCGAAGTTTCGAAAATCAGTTAGTGGAAGGCAGGTGTCGACAGGAGAGCGTACGTCTGTTTGGACGTGGGATAAACAAAAATGATTTTCTGAAAACCCTGCCCACTCTCCTCTGCATGCACCCTCTTTCCAAAATCTGATCTTTCATTTTCCTCCTTCTTCTCTAGAAAACCTTTCCTTCTCTCTACTGGAACTTACCTTTCTCTACTCTGATCACCGTTCAAGCACCGTGGAAGCATTCCCGGCATCCCAAGCTTCATCTTGAACCGAACGAGTTTCAAGTTTGAGCTGGTAAGTCTTCTTCCCTTAGTGGTTTGTTCTTTTGTTACATGCAAACCACGTTTTGGTTTCATGCGAGGGTCTAGACTAAGTTATCTTGGTTTCTTGCTGTTTGGTTTAGTTTGAAAGAGTTAAGTGATCGTGAGGGTAGAAGTTGTAGTCGGACGAACCAAGAACCTACGTTTAGGACGTTCACTCACGTATTCAGGTAAGGGAAGCTTATTTAATTTAAATATGTATTGTAGTTGTTGTGTATGAACTTCCGTTGTTTGAATGAATGAATATGATGCATGCTGGTTGATATGTATGAAGTATATGAATGTGAATATGAGTAATCATTTTGGAGTATGAATTGTTAATATGGATTCTATAAAGTATGTAAATTGATATTTGATGTGAAGTTATAAGGTTATAAACTGAGGTGTTGAAACTTGAGTTGGAAATAAATGAAAATCTGAATATGAAATTCTCACTATGATAATGTACGTTCGTCATCGAACGGTCCCCTACCGTTTGGTTTTTCTAGTAAACTGTTTTAAAATGGAATTCTTTCATTTGGAGAGAATTTTATTCGAGAACGAGCGTCCTCATGAGAAACACTAGGTTGGAGCGTTCGGCCCAGCATAGTTGTATCCGGATATTCGAAATAAAGTAATACATATATATACCCTCGTACTTTAAGATTAGTAGTGCTCGGTCTTACACCTAGCGCTCATACTAAGTAGTGCTCGGTCTTACACCTAGCGTTCTTCCAACTTCAGTAATATTTCTTTTTCCATGTTCGGTCATTTACTGGCATTGGATTTCCGTATGTGAACTATTCTAAATATAGTCCTTAACATCTTGATTATTCTTCTTGCATTGGATCCGGCCTAAGGCCTCCATACTTGAATTATTCCTTAAGTATTGGTTTGAACTCAAGAGAGTCAGTTCATTTAACTGACTCACGTGGTAAATACCGTTCGTCACATATTGCACTATTTTACTCGGCTCATTTCTTAAATCCAAAAGTAACTCTCTTAGTCTTATTCTGTTCTGAACGGGAGGATCATCGGTCTCGTTCTTATCGTTCGTCCTCGTTCTGAAGAGGGCTGAATGTTCGTTATTTGATGTCCTTGTAACTGATGATGAAAGTGATAATAAAGTGAAAGATTATAAAGGGTGAATAGTATATGAGATGATTAAACGGTTGTGAATTTTGAACGAGCGTTCCGGGGAGGAATGACTCATGTATTGAATATTGGAATTGGTAAAGTATGACTGTGGTTATGCTAATGCTGGCAGTTCATCCTGATGTTCCATGAGTACTCATCCTCACGTAGAGGAGGGTAGGTCATGTGTGGGAACGGCAGGAGGTCCTAGTCCTTAGGGGTACTTTGGATAGGGCTAACCTCGGGTGGCAGCTGTTGAGTGTATCCTAGTTACTACATCAGTCGGGTGCAAGAACGCTTGTAGCTACACAGATTCATATAGTCCGGACGGTCAGTCTAGTGATAGGCTTGGTATGATACGTACGTTGAAATGTTTCTTGAGTATTGGAATGTTTACTTTATATGTTGATGTATGAATTAAATTACATAAGCTTACCCTGTTGTTTTCTTGTGTTGTCTCGTCCATGTACGTCCGTCTTGTCAATTGCAATGATCATCCGTGTGGATGTGAGCAGAAGGAGACGCATTGTTGGAAGAAGTGATTGAAGAAGAGAATCTGGTGGACGTTGAAGTTAAGGCCGAACCTTTTGTTTTTTTGTTTATTTTTTTTTTTTTTTTTTTGTTTTTTATCGTTCGGTAATTGTTTTGTAAAACCGTTCGATCCTGACTTTTTCTTATTTCTGTGTAATTGTAATTAACTCTGTACTTAACTCCGTTCGTTTTTAAACGTTTTATTAGTGTAAGACTGAACTGTTTATTATGAAATGTAATCAACTCTATTATATGGTTTTATTACTGTATTTTTGGGATGTTACAATTTTCAATTAAGTTTCAATTAAAACTTGTTTATAAAATATTTAAAATATATTTATTTTTGTTTAAGTATTTTATTCTTTATCATCTATAGCGTGAGATAATTGTTACTTGTATCCTTTTATTTTTATTTTTATTTCATAAATGAACTTCTTATTTGTTATTTT